GGGGGGGATGGAAAGGGTCAGGAGGAGTTGGTGGGAGGTGAAAATATGACAAAAACGCAGTAGGCTACATTTGAAAAGGAACACAGTGAGGGAGTGGGGGGAGGCAAGGTACTGCGAAAACTGGATATTAGAGAAGGTAAATTATGGAAGTTGCGTGGAATTAAAAGAGGGGGTGAGGGGTCGTAAAAGAAGGAGGGGGAGGGGCGACTTCAGCAGGGGAGGGAGAGAGGGAGGGGAGGAACGGTGAAGTAATGGGTCACCACCACGGCTTGGTCACCACCGAGTGAGGACAACCGGCTACGTGCATCCACCACACATTGTCGTCCGGACCCCCGCAGTGACGTGGACTGTCTGTCCGGCCCAGTGTCTTGTGAAGTGATCGGTCCTCTTTTGTCCCAAAGCCTGATTGTTTCTTCGGACATTTCACGACTCGATCGACCCCTCAAAACGATACCATGCCAAACAATACCACGTAGTTCACCATTGTGCTGCCGTTGTGGGGGTACTTTTCTTACACTAGGCTCGTCGTAAACGTTTTTACGCCCCATCGATACAATTTAGTAGATCATTTAGTTGGGAGGCGAACTGTCGTCGACCCCGCGGGTCAAACTGAGCTGAGTGAGGTACAGAATCCCCGCACAAAGAAGGAGGTACATGTATTTGGTTAAATTATAAACAAAACGTCCACACGAGGGAATTAACTCGCGTCTTCTGCCGCCCGCAACGGTTAAGAAGCTAAGAGCTGAGCCGTTACACAACACACACGGATTACATTAGGCTTAAGGTTTCTGAAAGAGTCGGACACGGAGATCTGCTCAGCTCTGAGCTGGTCAGACAACTCACCAAGCGCAGATTTAATACAGGAGCCTTTTTCCGATGAACTCATCATGTAAAACATCTCCACCTACGTACATACCAAACATATTTTTTAAAAACCAGAAGTATTATTATATCGCCCTTAGAATTGCTGCCCTCAATCAATACTTCGTCGCACAGATGTAGCGTTCACATAAGGCAGAAACTGATACGCCGCTCGTCTCTTTTGCTTACCCCAAGATGGCCAACGTGTAAGATGTTTGGTCCAGACATGCATGGTGAGCTAATCACTGGGATTGTTCTTTTTGTCTTTTTCACACATGAAGTCTGTTTCCCACTTCACAGTCTGAAAGAGATCGAGCCCTAATTTAATACATGTACATGTAGTTCGTTCTAGTCGGCATTTTAGTTAGTTTTACGGCATTTGCAACACAAATAGCTCGCATAAATGCTGAAGATTAGAGGTGTTACAAGAGAGAAACAAACATGAAAAAGGAGAGATAAGGACGAGAGATGTTTGATAGGAAAGAAAGAGCAAACCGCACCAGAGCACCCGCAAAACCACCCACTAATACATGTAAAAGGTCTTCTCGAACTTGACGGACAATTGCAAGTCCGGTATATCAGTATTAGTGTTACACGTAAAAGACACAGTGAATAAAAAACGGTCTTCTAAAGAAAAATATGGTTTTCAATACATTGTATTCTGTCCCGGTTTTGTTTTTGGGCGCTTTAAATGTCGTAATCAGCTTGCATTTCCACCGGTTTCGGTTCATGCAGGAACTACCAAGTTTCAGGTCCGAAATGTTCTTGTACGTGTACCGGGTAACAGTAGAAGTTTTAAGCGCCATCAACCCTATCTAGATCTTTATGGATATACTTTACTATTATTATAGCTTTACATTGCAATGGCCAGCTGGATGAGCACTTCTCGTCTCATCGAGTAAGTGACCAGGGTCAAATAACAGAATTCTTGGCACCAATCGTGAACTTATCACAAGTGACTGATGGATTGTTTGTCCAAAATGAGCTTCGATATGTTGAGGTCGTTTGATAGCACACGATCCGTTTATGTTTAGAAATAAAACCGACGAAAGACCTAGCTAAATTATTTGTAGTTATAGATGTTTTACGCCCCCATTGACACAGAATTAGACCATTTAGGAGGCGGGCGCCAATCTAAACCCGGGATGAGAGAGGGGTTTACAACGCCCCAGCCCCAGCCTACAGACGGAAGAAATACTCGATAAAGAAACCCTCTTCGTACGAGAATCGAACTCACGTTTTCTGCGGGCGACGGAAAAATGCCTAAATTTCAACACCCGTTTAAGTAAACACAAGTGAAATAAACGTAGGAAATCTGTTTTTTAGTTTAGTTTTAGTAGAGGTTTTACGCGCTCGCAACTGCATAAGGTCATATGAGCACCAGAAGATTAGTGGTGTTACAAGAGCGTAACAAACATAAAAAAGAAGAAGGGGAGATAAGGACGATATATGTTTGATAGGAAAGAAGAAGCAAACCACACCAGAGCACCCGCCAACCACCCACGTAGGAAATCGGGAAGCCCTCAGTTGAAGAAGCAGCTTTGTAGTATGTATTGGCTGGCCTATTTTGCTCTTGGGATTTGACAGTCGCTAAAGGAGTAATGTGAGAAGTCACTAGTTTGGCGAAAAACAGCCGAATTGATTACTTACGGAGTGTACCACCAGGCAAAAATCATCTTACGTATATATGTGCAAGTACTGACAACTCAAAAATCCATCCAGACGGAGACAATGGTGAAGATTCAAGATGCTCAACAGCTTGGTTAAAAAAAGGCATATATAGTATCTTTTTGGGGCGGTGGTAGTGGGGACCATTACAGTTCGACACCTTATTAGTACATGTACAATGTATTACACAATGCTGGTTATATGAACATAGGGTACTTGGTACTTGGTGTAGGTCCAAGTCACTGTACCGAGATGAGAGACCGGGAAAGAAAACGTGCAAGGGTGATCAAAGCAAAAACAAAAAAAATAACATACCCCCAACAAAAACAACAAACAAACAAACAACAACAACAAAAAGTAGATTGAAAATTTTTTTTTTTACTCATGAGTGAGTTCGCTATGATCCTAACTAACTGCATCTCGGTGACGGGTTCAAATTGCAGCAAGAGTTGGATGTATACAGTAATACATGGATCATGTAGAACTGACAACAAAAAGTGGAACAATGGGTCGAATTACAGAGAGGGACAGATTCTCGTACTATTTAATGAAGTACAAAGAGCGAGGCATTGACTATGACAGAGATGAAAGTAAAATCAAGCCTGTTCTTATAAAGTTAAGAAAAGGCAATGAAACGACGTTCCAGGATACCATCTCAACAGATGAATCGCACCATTGGCTATCATACTATTTACTCTTTATATTCTTACTACTTACTACCAGATCTGACACAAAGATAATGGATCTCCTTTCATTTCCTGTCTAATGCCCTATCCTGTAAGAATCTGCTGGTGTTTCCCCGTCAACCACCTATTTCTATTCAGGTTTCCCAAACAAACTTCTATGAGTCTAACCCCCCACCCCGGCCTCGTTTGCTTTTATTTTTTCAATGAGAGCAAGATGTTCATAGCCATCATAGACTAGATCTATACCAGCCAAACCAAACGAACTAACGTATCTTCAGCAGAGAGCACTTATAAACTGATCTATTTTTTGTTTGAAACAGTACATAGCCTACAGTTATAATTCATTGCGCTATACTGGGTCAGTTCTGACATATTACATGTACATTGTATGTCGTGAAAGACGCCATCACAATTAGTCTTGTCGTCGACTCCTTTCTTAAACGTTACGAAACACGCGGAAACAAACCGGGAGTAAATCTGGGTAGCTAGAGTGCGGCAATTCTCTGACGCCTGTCTCAAGAAAACAGCTGAGGTGTGTTCCCTGTGTGAAAAATGAGATCCATTTAATACGGTCGTGACAACACGCTGTCTGAAGAATAGAGCGAATAATATGAATATGACCTCCACAGTTCCAATTACGCAAGTCAAGTATGGGCAGGTATTTCAGTTTGTCAGTGTGTCAATCTCGCCACCCTCCCCCACCCCTCTTCTCTGTTCTTCCTGTTGTGCGAAACGTCACCAAATTCCAAAATAATAACCTATAGTTAAAGGAATCGTTGCAGCAAAAACAGCCAAAACTTTAAAAAACAAAAACAAAAAACCCCACAACAAACGTAATATAAAAAGACAAAATCCCCAAATACAACAGAACAAGAACAAGCAAACAAAACAAGGAAAATCGAAAATGTACATCGCGAAAAGGAAGGACGGACTTATAATACAACCTGCCAGAAAAGCGAGGGCAAATCGTGGGTCGAGTCGAAAACACTTTACAGTAATTCCTTTGTAAACGTTGTGACCCAACGAGAAAGAGAGAGAGGGTGGGGGGCGATAAGGGGAATAAGGGGAAGTGGGAGAGAGAGAGAGAGAGAGAGAGAGAGAGAGAGAGAGAGAGAGAGAGAGAGAGAGGCACCTGGAGAGAGAAGACAGAAAGATATATATATCTCTCTCTCTCTCTCTCTCTCTCTCTCTCTATATATATATATATATATATATAGAGAGAGAGAGAGAGAGAGAGAGAGGGGGGGGGGAGAAAATGAGAGACGGGGGGGGGAGAAGGTAGACAGTGAATCACTATGTTAAATAATGGCTGAACGAGAGAGAGAGAGAGAGAGAGAGAGAGAGAGAGAGAGAGAGAGAGAGAGAGAGAGAGAGAGAGAGAGAGAGAGAGAGAAGAGAGAGAGATTTAAATGCCATTCACCTAATTAGCATAGCGGTGACGGCCGTAAACTTCACTCATTGCCACAACCCCCGACAAATGACAGACAGCGGAGG